GTCCAGAAACCAACGTCATACATTCTGGCAAGTAAAATTAATATGGACACAACTTAGAAACTTGAATGAACAGCATGGATCGACTCCATTAATGACGACGAATACGTCCAAAACTTCCTCGAAGGACAAGTGAAAAGTTGGAGAAATGGGAAAAAGGAACGGCAACTGGACTACAGGAGAACTACTTGATGCTTTTGATAGCGTCATCGGTCAGCCAAAGATTATGGAAGGCACAGACCCAGTTTCCACGAGAAAATTAAGATCACGTGCAACGACTGGGAAAAGTAAAAGTCTAAGCAGCTCCACGAGAGAAACACACAAAACGACAGAACAGAAAAGTCCTCCACGCAGTGACGTGCGACAAATCCAAAACCAACAAAAACGTCACGATGGAAGTTGTGCCGAAGGGACCACAATTCTTTGCGTTGTGGTGAGATAACATCACCATACGTAAGAAGAAAACTGGCGATAAAATTACGCCTGTGCTGGAAGTGTTTAAACCTAGGACACACAAAAAACAGCATGCAAGGCTCCCCGTGCCCCAATTGTAGACGACATCACCATGTACCTATGGTCTCCAAGACAGACACTCTAGCGAAAAGATCTAGTAGTCCACGGCAAAGACGGCAAAACAGAAGAAGCTCTACCGACAGCTACCAATCAGAAGTCGATCCTCGAAATAGACTCAGGTAGGAATTCAGACCTCACCCCAACTTCAGAGGAAGGTATCCCACAAAAAAGGCGGCAACAGCGAAAAGGATCATGAGATCCTAGAGTTGGATTCAAAAACTTCCAAGACACATATCTATTCTAATTCGTCACCAGATTCGCGTACTTTACAACCGAAAAAGGAAGAAACAGAAACAGACACTCCTGAAACTTCATCCGCTCAATCCTACGCAGAAGTATTCCGAGTGGATACTTTACAAACGGATACTTTACAAACGAAAACAGTACCGAACCTCGCAAAAGGCGGAAAACAGAACACCGTGATAGACAGTATGACAAACTCAAGGAAATCCAACAAAAGAACAAAAACAAAGCAAATTTTCACAGTACTACTAGATAGTGGCTCTCAACACACTCACATAGGGAAGGACACAGCACTCAGCCAAGGACTTAAACTAAAAGATTCACTTCGCATCAGTACCTTTGCCTTCGAAGGCCACTGAAATACCGAAAAATCATGTCGCGTAAAGATTATACTCGAAAACAAGTCGAACGCTTTGGAATAGTGTCTTCAACAACAACAGTCATTGGTAAGGAGCATCAAAGGATCATCACAATCACAAGACGAAACGAACTACTTAGTACAGCGCTTGTTCGGTCTAGAGTCCTTCGAAACAAATGAAGAAAAACGACATAATTAAGAGTATAATTCAACAATACTACGATACGTACAAATCAAAAACGGCCTCATTACGTCCGATTCCCTTGGAAAACAGAACACCCACCTCTCGCCGACAACAAGGCTCTTGCAATACGCAGACTGGAAAACCAGTACAACAAATTACATCACAGTCATAATGGGACGAATACTGCAAGACCTTCGAACAACAAATCAAATCAGAATAATCGAAGAGGTGAACGAGGACGTAGCCCAGGGAATTCTGGGTTTGTTATATTCCTCACCAGGCTGTATTCAAAGAAGACAGTACAACAAAATTACGCATCGCCTTTGACGCATCAAGTCACATGAAGGGAGTACCCAGTCTATTCGACTGCGTATACCAGTTACCATGCCTACTACCAAGCTTGTGCGGTACACTACTACGAGCCCATTAACACCGATACTAGATAATAGCCGACGTGGAGAAAGCATTTCACCGAACCATGTTACAGGAAGATCAGCGAGATGCGACGAGATTCCTTTGGCTCAAAGACACCACCAAAGGACCAACTAGAGACAACATACGCATCTTACGATTCACACGTATCCCATTTGGAGTAAATGGCTCACGATTTTTACTCACAAGGGAAGGATGGTAGGTCGAAGTGGCCATTTGAAATGAAATGTATACCGGCTGAAAGGTCTTCGGACGGGAATTACGAAACCGTCTTCCATATCTGCTGCGGACCTCCCAGAAAGAAGTTACGGAGCTTTTTTGGGGGAGACACTACAAATTGGCGGCGTAAGGCTGACGAGATCGTGGCAGCATGGCCGAGTGGATACGTCGTAGGGCTCACGGATGCGTGGTCGAGGGTTTGAATCCTTGATGCGTGTGCTCTTTTGCATTTTTTCGAAAGTGGTCCCTGTGCACTTCAAAGCTATTTTGCATAACACTTGTCCCTGATAATGTCGTGACGTAATGATTCTGAACTGATGGAGCCATTGCGAACGATTTCATGGAGATCCCCTCCGGTTGAAGACTGTCATACGAGCCGAAAACTTCCGGCAGGTACGAAAAC